GACCGCCCCCGGGCCGAGGGAGGCGAGGGGGCCGGGGGGAGGCAGGTCCCGGCCGGGCGGCCGGGGCTGGCGGCGGCTGTGCGCCTCTCGCGCAGAGAGCGGAGAGTGCGAGTGCAGTTTTAGTGCAACTCAAAATTAGCGGGCATGTTTAACATCGATAATCGGCACGGAGCACGGGCTAGGAAACGATCCTTGGCGGCGGGGGGCACTGGCGCTGCCCTCCGGGCCCTTTCCGGGGAGAAATAACAAAAGGGGCACCCCAGCCGGTGTGTAATCAAATAGCCATCTTTAGGCTTCAAGGCTGGGGACAGAAATGTAGGCCTCAAAAGAAAGGCCTCGGTGTGTCTGTGACTCTGTCTTGGGGGGGGCCCGGCTGGGACGGCTCCCCTGCCCCCCGGCGGCCGTGGGGCGCCCCCGCCAAGACTCGCACGGATTATTTTCAACTTCTTTGGGTTTTTAATGGGCCGCGGGAGGATTTAAAAGGGGGCGACAGAGGGACTCCCGATTGGTTATTGTCCAGGTAGGACAAACAAAAACAAACAGCCCCCAAAACAGGGCACCCCCACCCCCAACAGAAACGTGCACAGTGCTGCTGGGCAGCGGGGTTCCCCCCGGGGGGGTGGGGGGGTGCAACACCAGGGACTGCCAATAAGGAATGCAACCCTATAGCCCTCATACACAGCCACCTAGATGTGTGTGTCTCTCTATTTTTGAATATATATCTACTTATCTGTTTGCTTTGTGGCTGCCCCTGGTTTTTTGTGAGGTTTGCCACCAGGGAGGCATGTATCTGTGTGTGTTGTGTATCTCTGTTTGTGTGTTGTTGCTTTTTTTTATTATTTGATAGGTCTCTGAGAAGAATCAGTGGGGAGAAATTGCAGAGGGGTTCAACTTTCCCAGAAGTTGCTCTAACGCTGCCTTCGCTTTAAAACAGTATTACTTGCGGTAAGTGCTGCCAGGCTCTTGGAAGAGTGTTGCTGAGCATGGGATGGCTGCTGCTTTTTTTCTTTTCTTTTTTTTTTTTTTTTTTTTTTATTTCCATAGTGTGCTACAATAG